GATCTCTTGTAAAGCGTGCGGGCACGAATATGTTGGCGAAACGGGTAGACCGCTCTACGTCCGCATAAAAGAACACCTAGTCGGTAAATCTAAACTAAAACACAATACTCCACTAGGCGCGCATAGGATGCAAGAACACAACGGAGAAGATTTTGAGGTAGGAGTCACTATCCTTACGCAGGAATCGAAAACATCAGCGCGAAAAACTCTTGAAGCGTTTTGGATCAATGCCAAAAATTCAAAAATGAACCGCAAGGAGGAGTGTCTTGTCATCACGCGTGACCTAGCGCCATACCTCAGGCTGATCCAATGATCTGACATGGACCCAGTTATCGACCATGTATTACTCTGTGCGGCGGCTATCCACCAACTAACTTAAATACTTACGACAAATAAACGGTAGGTGTTTGAATGAAGCTGTTTCTTATGCGAACACAAATCGATTTATCAAGTTTTATCTGCTGGGGTTATGAAAGTGTTTGGCTGAGTAGATCGCATCTCAATTTGACCTTTCCAGGCTCTGAAGAAGGCGAAACCGCCGAAACGTCAGCAATTGTGTTCTAATAAATTCTATATTAACAACCTCGTGTCTGCTTATTGATGAAAAACATTGAGTTTACAGTTTGTTTTGCAAAATTCTTTATGGACGGGTGATCTGTATCTAAGTTACTTAGGTGAATATTGAAATCTAGTGTTGAGAGCTGTTAGAGCTGAATTTGTTAAGGCAAGTAGTCTTTGAGAAATCACAAAGTTTGATGCGTAATATTCGTTGTTCTTCAGAAGTCTAGAGGAAGCTGTGAATTATGTGATTGTAGCTTCAAAGTGCCAGTGACAGTACATATGCGAACGGATCATCCGGGTTGCGGGCAGGATGCGCAGGGGTTGGTGATGTTTTTAATTTCTCAATCTCACTGTTATCACAAGCTTTAAAGTTGGATAAATTTGGTTAGTTTAGCTAGTTTTAATTACCTGTAGTTGTAAAATAAAGGAACCCTGACGATATCGTGTTTTCGGAAGTCTCTCACAGGTGTTTTTATGTTTTTTCTTTATCTCCAATACAATGTTTGAGTTGGAAAACATCAGATATTCCGTCAACACAGTTTTAAGTTTAGGTATGGGTACAACTCCTCTGGCAAATTCACATCTGGATGGTCCGGCGATTGTGGGAGCGGGGGGCGCGCTGCATCAACTTGGTATGTTCATGTACTGTTCTTAATACTATTTACTTGGATACTTGGTTGACCCGTCCTCACTGGTTTCCTGTGGGCGCCAGCATAATCCCTATTTTTTCGGAGTTTTGCTGGTTTAGCCATTGTGATTCCCTGGAGTTCCGAGATCAGTCAGGTCAAAGTCTGTTCGAGGTCGTTTGCCACCGTGAGACTAGTTTGGTACTAGGACGGTGACAAATCCAGGTGTTAGTTTACTCTTAACTGGGCTTCCTGATGGAAACGCACTGGACTTCTCGTCTTGGGAGACCCAACCAGGGAGATGAACTCTCCCGCTGTACATCGCAACCCGACATCCAGGAACACCTAGCCACGATGAGGCGGTAAACCATTGGGAGGGTTGTCAATACTTATACCCAGTTATTTGTAGTTTCTAGTTTTTGAATAGTTCTATTATTTATCATTGCCAAAATGGACTGACTAGTAGGGCATTATATCATATCGTTGTCTCACTATTGCTACCATTGCTATTTTTGCTATTAATTTCTTTTCCCAAGGTACCTTCTTTGTCCTGCTTGTCGTGCCCAGTATTTGAAAAGAACACCTGCAGGATATCGACAAGTGGGTTTAAAGTTGCCGAGTTTCTTAAGGACGTAGTGTGAATAAATTCGGTTTTTATTTCTCTGCCGCTTCTAGGAACGGGCACGTCTTTGGCGAGAATTCCGGCTGTCAACGAACGCATGTGACTTGCGTCCTGAAATCATCATGCGGCAGAATGCGCTGTTTCTTCTAGACTTGAACTCAAGTCTTGATTGCGACTCAAAGGTTTGAATCTTAACTCTTTTATTTACTGCCTTTTCTTCTTAATGGCAGGGTATGTTTCGAATTATAACTCGTATGAAATGCTGAGATATTTGCAAAACTCCGGACCACAGGTGTATGCAGTGGGGAACGAACACGCGCTGTTGTCCTTACCGTTATACATTTTGAGCATTATAGCATTTCATACGAGTTATCAAAGGTTTGAATTTGACCGCTTCACTAGAAATACTAACAACTAGTGATAGTTCCTGTTTTATTTATTTGCCGTTACTCGTTCACTTTCTACTGGTAAACAGTGAGATCCAGCTGTTTCTCTTCTTATTTCTTTTCTTATCATTTTAAAACTTGTGTATTTTGTCGTAAAATGGGCATAGGTTGTTGAGTAATGCAATAAACCCCACAGGCCTCATCAACAGCAACATCTGGCTGGACAATCAACCTTTTTCCAACACAAACACCCAGTCCATCAGTCATGGGTAGAAGTGGATCCAATGGAAGGAAAACAGTTAGTTGCATTAATATCTGGTTTGGTTTGCGTCTCACGTTTCTTTCCTTGTTTCTTTAGATCGACTCTGCTTTTTTCGCACGGTCATCGTTTTTGTCACAGTCATTAATTAGGACTGGCCATGCATCGGACCCCGGTCCGAAGGCCTTACCAACATCTCCACCGGCTGTTCCCATGCAGTCGTTTGCAATGGATGGAACTAAGAGTGACGAAGGTGATACGAGAGAGGTTGGGTTCTTTTTACGGTTTTAAAGAGCCGTTCTATGCTACTTCAGCGAAATTTCTAAGCTTCGACTTTTACATAAATGGATTGACTACGTGTTTTGATTTTTATCAATGCAATATGCAGGTACTGCAGTCTCCTTCAGCTGCTTTGCGCACTCTCACCTCTTATCATACTCCGACCACAGGTGAAATGCTTAAGCGGCCAGTACTATCTTTTGTGATGGAGCACCATGATTTAAAGAGGTGAAGAGATCTTTGATATCGTATTTGACTTTCACCTTTCTTATTAAAATTAAAATAAAATGATTGTTCTTGAAATATCCCAATTCGTTATTTCAGTTAGGCATCTGTTATTATTCAGGTTAGCTCAAGATCTCATTATTTTACTTGGGTCAAGATTTGTTCCCAATGCGTAATATGAGTTATATATTAATCGTATCAGCATGACCATCTTTATTACGTACATCAAGTATCATACTCATCGATAGTAGTCTGTATATCACTTGGCCAGTATAGAAAGTAAAGAGAGAAGAGGAACATGTGTCATATTTGACCATTAAATCTGGAATACTCCTATCTGTGATTTATATATCTTCTGATTGTCCTGTACCACTCACGTATATGCTTAACGCTTCGAATTGATGCGCTTAGATTTCCAATGGCATACCAAGGGAGGAGCAGACGACCATGAGTTGCCATCAGCTTTTTTTGCGATCATTTATTTTGGCGTGCATAAGTTCTTTTGTTGTAATTTTTGTATCCAAGCGATGTCTTATCCAACACTGACCATCGTATTAGACCCTGGAACCTTAAAAACATTTCTATGCGCTTAATATCTTATGGAAAACTTTGGACGCGTTGATCTCGTCTGTGGTAGATGTGATACTGGTGAAGAGAGTACCCATTACGGTCATTATCCTTTCGAAACTCTGCAGATATGTTTCCACTGTACCCGAACACTGACGCTCACCGTTTCACTTGGTGAGATGTATAAGTGTCTATACTGACCTCATAGATTGGCCATGAGCTCGATCACTAGCGCTTTAGCCACAGGTTTACTTCCGGATGTGCTTCTACCGTGTTGTGAGATCTAGTGCTTTACCGATTCATCGTGCCTGAGGCTGCTTCTAAACATACAGAAATATTTCGGGCTTTGAGCTTTGAACAAACACATCTCGGCTTGTGCCTAATTTTAACTAATAGACGATAATTGAAATCAACGTCTGTTGACTTTTTAAATTTTGATGTTCTATCGGAGATTTTCAAACACGACGCAGGTTCTATAATTCTGCCGTGATAAATTCTTTATGCAACGCAATGTTTTCGTCGTTATATGTGGTTAAACTGTGTACCAAATGCTAGCAACACCATAGTTGGGTGTGTTGAAGTGGAGTCTTCTTTATAAATGTGAAATGTTCGTCACTTTTTCATTGCACCTATGGTGCTAATATTACAAGAAGTGGCTATATGAGGAAACAAGAATAGTTCATATACGTGTTTTCATTAATAAAATCTGTAGTAAAATGCTTTCAAAAGATCTTGTAGGCTTCGTACGGCTTGTGAAGATTCAATAATAAGAGCTGTTGGATTCTCTCATGCGTTTCGAGTGTGGAATTGGTTGCTGAGGCTGGTATCATCTGAGACCAGGTGTGTGTTGAGAAATTTCCGAAGTCGGACATTGTAGATACATGAAATAGAGTGAAAAATGACCTGCGGCGATGGGCTAAATTTCGGTCGGATTTGCATAAATGACAATTTTGTCCTTTTTCTTTTGGAATAGTGTGGTGGATACCTCCTTTTTGTTGATCTAATGTGATATTGAAGTGTTATAACTCAGTTAAAACACTCATTTATAAATCAAAATATGAGACATTTAAGATTTACACGCTCTCGTCTAATAGAATCCCAAATTTTTGTCAAGGATGAATTTGATAGCGGTTCAACGATCTGATTGTTGAAGATTTTTTCTTGGAAGTAGTTATGTTAAGTAAGAGATTTGTACTTCAGTCTGCTAAACTTATGCGTAATTATTTTTGCATCGTTTTCTCGAATGTTGTTGCATAAAAGGATCGCATTCTACCTTCTGACTCATCGTGAACGACGATTGTTGTTTGACCAATGTTTACTTCATGTGGAACTTCGCGAATAATTTTCAGATGATCAACTTCGAAAACCGACTTTAAATGCTCGTCGTTAATTGCTGTTAGGTGCAATTAACCTTGTTTCCCATCAAAATTTATATCTCTGATTCGAAGCTTTTCCAATCGCCTGAGCAGTGTTCGTTCAGAAATGTTCCCTCAACCTGTCTTTTCGATGGAATTTTAACTGTTTCCGACGCAGTATGTCTCATTTTGAATTCAAGAAGAGGAACGTCGCCGTTTTCTTGCATTAAGAAACATCATTTTGACTGGCCTAGAACAATTGTAGATTGGATTTTAAAAAAGCATCACGCACCAAGTATTTAAGTGTGTACGTTTGTGCAGTTCAAAACGAGTAATGGTAATTGTTTTTGCATTAACTTAATTGTTAATTTCGTCTTCATTATGAAATGATACATATTCTTGATAAGGTTTCTCTCTCGGTAGTGCTTCTTCTTCAGAAATTTAGATAATTTCATGTTCAAAGTTGTTTCAGTGTTTCTGACATCATTCTGCAGTACTTGGAAGCCTTGTCGTCCTACAATTTGTATTCTGATGTGATCTCCACAAAATTTGTACAAATTCTGCCACATCCATGGAGATTATGCTTTTTGGCTGGTCCCCTTGCAGGTGAGTTTATGCCGAAGTTTCTTTTTGCTACTTTAACCTAACCATAACCAATTGGTTCATGATAAATCTTTATGTTTATCCTTTTTTCAATCGATTTGTTGTGTTTTGATGTAAACTAATTGCCCTCAACTAGTCTTGTTTTTGGAGTTGAGATCCACTCAGTTTTTACCAAATATTGTTATTCTTTTAAGCGAAAATGGTACAACACTTCCACGCCTTTCTATATACGATCGCGGTCATTCTACAGTCATCCGGTGTCGATGCTCGTCTTCGTTCATTATGTTTTAAAGCTTGGACAATTGAACTCACGGCCCATGAACAGGTATGCTTCAGATAGCGTTATTACTGTTCTCTTTCCGACGAGGTGTTATCTACGAATTTTGCTCTACGCTTTCGAACGGGATGTTCTTTAGGCCTGTGATTAATTATTTAGGAGCTTCTTATTCTTACCTGTAATATCCTTGGGACTGTTGGTGGAGTGTTGTCGGAACCATCAATCTCGGAGAACTGGGTTACTGATTCTGCGGATCGATCTCATGTTCAACAGCAGTTAAATGGCAGTGTCGACGTTAAGGTTTGTGTAATTCGTTTTTCATTTCCTCACTTGCAATTCAGTTTTGCAGGTTAGACTCCTTCCACATTGTTATTTTTCTATGAAATTTGTGATATAGTTTGCGTAGTCATTTTATTTGAGAATGTATCGATGAAATCACTGGATTTTCAGGTGTTTTAGTGAACGTCTATTTTAGGAAATGCGAGATGTGACTTGCCACGCCCGTGTAGAAGCAAGTTCACGGCAAGCGATGGTGGTCTGTCTAACAGACGGAAGCTCTGAGACGTTTTGGGAGAGCGGAGAGGAGGTAATACTAGTTTGTCATGCTCATTTCTACTTTTATTCTCTTGTAATCTATCCAACTATCTAGTGTCTGCTTAATAGGCTAGGTACGCGCATGTAGCGCAGTGGTCGGGGGCGCTCTGCAATGCATATGGGATCGATCCCCGATTCCCGGGCTTACCGAGCCCTTCATTCCTCCGGGGTCGGAAAATTGGTGCTAGACTTGTCTGGGAAGATAGCAGCACTCCTCGATACATCGGTAGGCCACAGCGAGTCATTGTAAAGGTCAGATATGTATCAACGGTTTTTATGAAGTCGAATTCATGGTGTATCCCTCAGGAATTGGTCAGCGTCGAGAGCTTTTTTTTTTTCCTTACCTTAATACACTGTATGAAAGCGTAATGGAGTGTGAACTTAAATGTTATTAGGTTGTTCCCTATCCACAAATTCTTGATAAATTATGAAGTCAAGATAGATATATACACTACAGCCACAAGAAATGAAAGATGTTAATCCTAATCACTGATCACTGTATTTTACATTTTTGCTTCGAGCACCTTCTTCTTTTCCAAAAGTCATCGTTTTCCACTCATATTTTGATCATTAACTAAATCCTTAGGACAAGAATCGTTCACGAACTCTGACCGTTACCTTCGATGGCTGTTCTCCGGTGCTCTTATGCCTTTACATTGATAACCTCCGTGATGAGGCTTGTCTCACATCTCAAATAGCGTTTCGTGCTGCTATGCCTGATGGATCACGTCGCGACTTGATGTCAAAAAATGTAGACCAAGTAAGCGGGATATCGATTTTAACCCTTAATGGTCATTGAACAGTAGGATTTTCAGAATTTTTCTGGTTGGATGAAATGTTGCATTACTAATGTCACGCATGTCAGTGTTTCATTAAAAGGTCCACATAATGCGTCGCGTGTTCGACAGGTTGGCGTACAACTCTATTTCTCATTTTCTTTATTGTTTCATTTTTGGGTTATTGTTAATGATAGTTACGTCGTGATTTTTACCAGTTAATGTTCAACTGTCCACTAAGGTGCAACATATTTACCTATACTTGTTCATCGACAGCTGTCGATAACTTTCCAATGACTAGGCTGTTTACTTACCTGAGGACTTGACGAGGTGATAGAAGAGGGTTTGAGGCCTTAACGGTGTATACAGAAGAAATTTCTTCCCTTGTAAAATTTCTCAACATCAGTTTTTTTAAAGTGGGGAGATAGGTGAGATTTTAAAAATTCGTTTTAACGCAAGTGCATCATTTTTCAGACTATCAGGCAACATGGAATAATGACGAATGAAACCCATTTGTTTTATTGTATCTCTTATCGATGTACGAGCCAACATAAAAAGTGCAGAAGAAAAATTTTTGTGCGCCAAAGAACCTGGATTTTAGTAATGGTAGAGAAATAAAATGTGCGCTTTGTCGGCAAAGGTTTCAAGGTTCCAATCGATTTTACTTCAATTAATAAAGTTTACTTTGAGCTAGGGTATCTTGGTTTTAAATTTCCACGTTTGCACCACATGCATTTAAACTGCATGAAAATGTTTTGATACATTATAGTTATCTGCTATGTTTAATATAAAACTAGGCTTTGAAGTCGCGTGAGGCTTCATATATGGCTGGATCTCTGTGTAAAAAATGAATAGCTGGCTTATGTTTCAAAGAGTGCTCACGCTTACGATGATTTGGCTGACAAATGTAGTTCAGTTTTAAGAGCTATTAGAAGGTATTATAATCCATCATGTGTTCCAAATTTTGTGAAAACATTTCTAAAACAGTATGTGTACATCGACGATCGTAGTTGGTTCTACGTTTTCAGGTTTATCTTATAGAGGAAATACTCGTGAATTTCAGTTGCAAATGCTTGGATTCGTGCCTGAGGGAAATGCTGATGTGATACGGCCATCAGTGTCAAATCAGCTGCTTTTCAACAACACACAACATGACGCATTTGCATTATTTCAGGCGATTTCTGCTCAGGTTTGCAGAACTTTTTAGTGGTCATCTGAAACAAGGTTTTTTAATCTAAAATACAGAACCGTTTTCACTGCTTATTCTTTGAGTATATAAGGAATTATTTCCGGAAAGCACCATCGAACAGAAACGTGAACATTTTTTATGAACATTTTCGCCAGTGAGTGAGCTATGAATGTTCACTGGTGTGAGACCGACAGATCGTACGACTGGTTAATGACTAATTTCCTTCCCGTCCGTTTATTTTGCTGTTAGGGATTATGTTGCTAAGCTGTATCCAAAAAAGACGTTTGTAGCAGAGGTATTCTAATCCGAAAAACCTTTACTGTGATGTAACTCATCATCAGAGGCAGATAGCACAGTTGTGGTGATGCCAGTCATCACGATCACGGTGTTGGTTCGATTCCGCTCCAGGCTTACCAAACCTGACATCTCCCCGGGATCGAGAAAATGGGTAAAGGACTTGTCCGAGAGAAAATCGCTCTCTGTAATCCAACTCGGAATGGTCTAACCCGGACATCTAAGGACTCTAGTGTGAATGGACTCGACCAGCATTATGTGGCATTCAAAATTAAATGAAAGTCGTCAAGCAGCTGCCGAAACTACACGTAAAAGTTGAAAGGCTTTAATGGATAATGGGTACGAGGAAACGAACTGGATGTGTGAACTGCTGGGATCCGCACGTGTGTACGGGTCGTATAAAAAAAAACTCAGTTTACATATTGTGCTGATCGCAACACTTATTTCATTCGATTTGTTTTACTCGCTTCCACTATCCCACGAAGGCTTTCGGATTTGTAAATGGATTCAGCTGCAGCTTGAGAGCTTTGGACTTATTTATGATTGTTGTCTTATGCTAGGGCACTTCCAGTCATCGTCACAGACACCTACTAGCTTGGTGGATTTAAGGGGGTGAGTTTGCTTCGCGACAAGTTTAGCACTCTTTCCCAACCTCGAATGGAGCGGGATTAGAGGCCTGATTGGCTTGGACCATGGTGGAACGAGTGCATTTTGCATATTGAACTGCTACTAACAGTGTACAATAGTTTACTTGAAAATGTTTCAGGCATTCTCTGGCGACAGTTGTGAGCAACAAGATGCATTACGTGAGAGAGTTGTGGATCTCCTGTTTAGTCGGGTAACTCTACAGCCGCTCCAAAACTATGTTTGTGCGCAGGTTGAGACAGCTTTAGAAAGGTGTTGGCATTTTCGCTCTGTTTAGTTACAAAGTAGAAAAGTTTGTAAGTAGTTAATTATTTATGGGTTCTTCTACTTCATCGTTTTTAACTTCAGTTGCTCAAAGTGCCGCTTAACACAGAGTTAGTGCTATGCTTGGTTCTCTTCCAGAGAAGTTGAACGGTTGTGTAGCCAAGGAAAACGTAACTATTCATATACCGTCGGACTGTTGGCAATGGCGAATCGTATGTGTGAATCACGTTGGAATGGCAACAACGGTTGTGACATGGTTCTTCGCCATAAAGTACTTCACGCTGCAAGCAGGCTGTTGGTATTTGCACCAGAAGTATGTTACATGGTATACTAATGCTTCAGTATTGTTACTTAAATAATAAGCAGTTGTAGGGCGTTGTAAACACCCATTATATTAAAATTTTAGATATTAACAATGCTCACAACTGTAGGACTTGAATGTGTCGTTTTCTTGTTCAGCAATCGCGAGGTTTTTAAACAGCATACATTTACTTCCATAGAAAAACAATACAATACAACGCTAGCTGACGTTTCGGCAGTATCGCCTTCTTCAGAGCCTGGAAGGGCATACTGATATACAATATACTAGGCCAAACGCTTCAGTGACACTTACAAAAAGACGAAAAACTCTTTGGTAATTACATGATCAACAGCTTCTCGAAAAACCCACCGCCTTTCGTGACTTCCAATGAAGAAGTTTAGAACAGCTGATTATAGTCGCATATGGTTGACGACTGCACCATCCCACATCAAAAATGCGAACATACGGGATCAGGTCGCGTACGACGTCCGGGCATTCGTCCCTGCTATTCATTGTAGGGTTTTTGGCATTTATCCAAAAAGCCTCAAGTTTTCGCGCTGTTGTTTTGGACTCCTGTGCAAGGATATTGACTTTTACTTCAAAATCGTCTCCGCTATGCTTTTATAACCTATGTGTGTCTATGGGGTGCTTCGTCTTAGTTTTCGTTTGCCATCTAGGTGTTCTTTTATACGGATACACAAAGGTTTGCCTGTTTCGCCAATATATTCACCTCCGCAATTATTACAAGAGATTAGGTATATCGTACCTGAACTCATGCAATCACCGTCCCT